GAAAACAAAAATGTTTAACCTTGTGAGTTGTGAACTTTTATTTTGGAAGGAATGGAATATTAAATATGGAATGTACCACTTCAATATCAATATTGTAGTTAAATTTAATAAGATTCTAGAATGTCTAGATTCCTACTTCCAAAAGCCAAACTCCAAGCTCAAGTTTCCAAACTTCACTTAAAATTTAGGCAGATAAAAAAAAATAAAGTCATCAAAATTCCTTGAACTTGGGCCTGTTGTTGCAAACTACACAGAAGCCCAATTTCTTCAATAGTCTCTTCCACAATAATCAATCTGCATATACCACACCACAACACCCTAGACACTCTTTGCCCAGATTCGATCATCCACGCTTCTTCCCAAATCCAGGTATTTCATCTTCTTCATTCTTCGCTGCTCATAATCCCACATTCATCCAGTATTTGTCAGGAAAAAAAATAAAGTCTTGTTTCAATCATCAGTATTTGATGAAGCTCAGATTTTAGATGTTTTAGATCCGTGGTTTAAAAAAAGAAAAAGAAAAAGAGATCATCTTTCAAACAACGCTGTGCATCTGTTTGTCCTGTGATTTTTCAAAGATGGGCTTCCACTCTGCAGATCTTTGCTTTCTTTTTGCGTTTGCCGATTTCATATGCTTTTCTTCACTGGCTGATCCGGCTGCATAGTTTCTGTTTGTTTTCTCTTTCGAATCTGTGTTTCTGTCTCTTTTCTCCAAATATTTTTATTTGATGTTATCCATTGCTTTTAAAAAATCTGTTTTTTTTGTATGTTTCCGTTTTTGGTATTGGCAGTGTTATGTCTATAAAATACTAAATCTTATATGATTATATACATATATTTTAAAAATTTAAGCTCAATTGATTTGTTTTGCTCAAACGTTCTTCTTTGAATAGTGTTAACATGAGCTTAAGTTGAACTTTAATTAAAGAAAAGAGAAGGCTGGATTGATAATTTAAGTTATTGGTGATGGTAAAATCCTCCATAGAAGATTTATTTCCGATAGCTTTTGGTATATATGCCGAAACTGTACAGTTCAATCTTATTGTGTAAGATAAACTCGCTCTGTTTTGCAATTAACACACTTTCTTTTTCATAAGTCCGAAATAAACTTCAAGGTTCTCCTATTTCCTTTTAAATGAAGTAATATGTGGCTCACAACACTTCTATTAAAATTTGGGAAGTCAAAGTCTGTGTCTTTTTGTGAGATGGATTGTATGCTAGTTGTTGATCAGATTTACTTTTGGTGTTTCATTGTAGCTTGTCTGGATTCCTGCTTACTTATGCTACAAGATTTTACTGTAAATTAGTGATTTTGTTTTAATTCTTAAATAAGCATGTACTCCGTATTCTGTATAAATGAGAAAAAAATATATTAGAGAATTGTGACAAAAATGTCCACATATCTTCAGTACCTTCAAAGCATATAAACAATGCTGCATAAACAATCCTGAAAGCTTTCTGCTGAAAGTATGTGGTTTCTCTAAACAGCACTCATTTACTTGGTTACTTACCACTTAGGGTGTGCTTGATTGAACTATTTAAGGCAAGGGGAGGATTTTAAAGTTGCCCTGTTCAGTTTTGTTGCGAGGGGAGTGAAAGAGTTTCGAGTAACCCTTTTTATTTTCCAAAGAGTTCTAAATACTCCCTCCGTCCCATAAAATTATTTACACTTTCTTTTTTTGGAGTTTTATGTGATGGAGGGAGTATTTAAATTTAAGTCAATATTTTTGTATCCCATTTTATTATTTAATTTTTTTAACCAAATGAAGGTAAGGGAGCATCTCCCCCCTCCCCCCCTGCCTTCTCTATTCTTCTTCCAATCACCTCAAACCAAACACTCTCAAAGAGTTTATGTTACAAAATATGGAGCATAACTTAATTTCATATACTGGTCAAGAACAAACATTTGATTTCCTATTCATATATCAAATGCCTCTCTAAGAAATCCAGAAATTATTAACAATCAGGATGCATCTTTACTGCTTGTTTTATTTTATTTGTACCTTTAGGGCTCGTTTGGATCCTTGAAAATAGCAGGAAAAATAGTAAGAATGAAAACGTAGAGCAAAGTTGCAAAATAAGTTATAGGCTAAAATTCAAAACAAAATAGTTTTGATATATCATACGCTCAGTATGTTAATTCTCTTGTCTCTCGTATTTAATTATGTTTCTAAAAAAACTAAACAAAAATCATATTCATCCATTTGATTTTTTCATGACAGTTTCCAATTTAAAATCAAAAGAAGCATTTTTTTCTCCACTCTCCAGCATTTTCTTTGATCCTAACATACCCTTACTGAGTTGTACTGAGTAATTATATCCATTCTTGTGTTACTATATCATTGAAATTTGTGTGCTTCTTGTTTTTCATCGTCAATAACCTACATGAATCAATAATGCCAAAAAATGGGTCAGGTCGCCTTTGTTGGTGAGCACCAAGGGGTCGTTTCTTCACAATGGCAGACAGTCAAATAGAGCATGACAAGAACATTGAGATATGGAAAATGAAGAAACTGATCAAAGCCCTAGAATCTGCAAGAGGAAATGGAACCAGCATGATCTCACTCATCATACCACCAGGTGATCAAATATCCCGAATCACCAAGATGTTGGCAGAAGAGTATGGAACTGCATCAAACATCAAAAGCAGAGTGAACCGTCAATCTGTTCTCGGTGCAATAACATCTGCTCAGCAAAGACTCAAACTTTATAACAAAGTCCCCCCGAATGGTCTCGTCCTCTACACTGGAACCATCATCACAGATGATGGCAAAGAAAAGAAGGTCACTTTTGACTTTGCACCTTTTAAGCCAATAAATGCTTCTTTGTACCTTTGTGACAACAAGTTCCACACCGAGCCTCTTGGGGAACTCCTGGAATCTGATGAAAAGTTTGGGTTCATTGTCATGGACGGGAACGGGACCCTATTTGGGACATTAAGTGGGAACACGAGAGAAGTTCTTCACAAGTTTACTGTCGATCTCCCAAAGAAGCACGGAAGAGGAGGGCAATCCGCTCTTAGGTTCGCCCGTCTCCGGATGGAGAAACGGCACAATTATGTCAGGAAAGCAGCAGAACTTGCCACACAGTTCTTTATAAACCCTGCAACAAGCCAGCCGAATGTGGCCGGATTGATTCTTGCCGGATCTGCCGATTTCAAGACCGAACTAAGTCAATCAGATATGTTTGACCCTCGTTTACAAGCTAAGATCCTTAATGTGGCTGATGTGTCTTATGGCGGGGAGAACGGGTTCAACCAGGCCATCGAGTTGTCTGCTGAGATTCTGTCAAATGTGAAGTTCATACAGGAAAAGAAACTGATTGGGAAGTTCTTTGAGGAAATTAGTCAAGACACCGGTAAGTACGTGTTTGGCGTGGACGACACAATAAAAGCACTTGAGATGGGAGCAGTTGAAACACTTATTGTTTGGGAAAATCTTGATATCAACCGTTACGTGTTGAAAAACAGTGTAAACAGTGAGATAGTCGTCAAACACTTGAACAAGGAGCAAGAGTCTAACCATAGCAACTTCAAGGATGCTGCCACGTCTGCCGAGCTGGAGGTTCAAGACAAAATGCCACTTCTCGAGTGGTTTGCCAATGAGTATAGGAATTTTGGTTGCGCTTTAGAATTCGTCACCAATAAGTCCCAAGAGGGGTCCCAGTTTTGTAGAGGGTTTGGTGGGATCGGTGGAGTCCTTCGTTACCAGCTTGACATGCGCGACTTTGATGAACCCTCTGATGAAGGTGAAACGTTTGGTGATTCTGATTAAGCTTCTTGATTCAGAATGATGAGATATTCTCTAGCTTTGATATCAAGAGTCAAACACTGAGTGTGTTTCCTCTTTTGTGCTGTAATTTCTTTTTTTTTAATCAGCCCCATCCATGACAAGGAATTAAGTCATCTTGTGTGATTTTTCATCCTTCTTTTTATAGCCCACTAGGTATTTATCATACTATAAATTGCTGCCTTATGGCTTTATGACATTCTATTCTCTCATAGTCATTGTACTTCATTCTGTGGATTGTGGTGGAGACAAGAGTTTTGAGTTTTGTTTTGCTATTCACTGACAAGAAAAACCAACTCTACACAAATGTCTGTCTCAAGGTGCTGTTTTGTTTCTCCCGAGACCCTACTCTTGTAGGATTTTACTGGGTTTGTTGTCGTTTGGTTTATGCTTTCACATCGCCATGGTAAAGCATGTCGATCTGAAATCATTTCCGTATCGAGTTTATATGTTATTCTGGAATGGAAGTGTTCCAGCTACCAAACATGGTGATGAAATGCAGCAGGTCTACTTCAGTTTTGGTGACTTGCAGGTGGTCCAGATGAATGATGAGACATAAGAACAGATGTGGATGGTTCTTGGGTACATGGAAGTGAGAAGGATGGTGATGTAACAGTGGAAAAGAAGATTGGGAAACAGTGGCATTAGCTAACACTGGCCTGTTTCTCAGTGCATGTGGAGTGAGTAATTAAGGTACAACTATTCACATACACTGTTATGATGCTTTCATATGAATGAAATTCAGTGGTTCCACTCTGATGCTTTCTTGCTCCCATGTGGTCTTTCCTCTTTGCACATTTGGCTCATCTTCAATGAGTATGTTGGGATCCAGCCAAGTATGGGTGGATAATTATTAGGACTGATATCTTCCTTCGATTCCGTAATTAGTGATGTACTTATGCTTGGACCACCGAGGCCCGCCCGAAGATCTAGCCCACGTGAAATGGGTTGGGCTAACTCGGGTTGGATTTAAGGTAGAGACTAGGGTTAGGAGACAAGTGAACGGCCTCCGTGGTTCTCCTCCACGCCCCCATGGTTCACATGTCCTCTTGAAATGTGGGAGGAAGTCTCATAACGGTTGAGTAATCTCTTCACCATAATAAGAATACCATCACGAGTGAGGAAATACTGTACGTGCGTAATTTCAAAAAGAAAAGATTGAAAATTTCAACGTGTTCGCACGTACTTTCAAGAAAAGATAGAAAATTTCAACCTTGGGTCTCAAATTTCTTGGGGAAATTTTCCACATCAATTCCTCGCCGTGTTTTATGAGAGAGTGACACAATATTTAAACTAAAGTCGTATATATTACAACGAGAGGCAAAATTGTAATTTACAAACGTTTCTTAGTGCTAGCTTACCATCCTCTTTCTTTCATTAATTTATACACAGAAATATACACAAATCACAACAAAAACACAACAAGAAAATCATATGTAGCAAACTATTTCTTAAAGTACATGCATATATGCATGTTCAATATCCTTGTTCCTCCTCAATCTCCATGTGACCACCACCTAGAGAAGAAGAGAAAGGAGAAGAAGAAAGAGCAGAAGAATATGAACTTCTACTTAACAACAACAAAGAGTTATCATCACAAGAGCAATAATTCTTAGCATAGAGCTCAACAAGCAAATCCACAAAGGCCCCAAGAATATACCCATGATTTCCATCCACATTCATCTTCAAATACCAACCAAGAAGCTCTTGAAGCCACTCCCATTTCTTCAACTTCATCCCCTCTTCATCATCATCATCAATTATATAGCACTCCACCATTTCTTGCATTGACCTCTTGAAGTCCCTATATGGGTCCTTTGTTTCCATTGCCACAACCACACCCTCCTTGAATGGGCTCCTCTCTTCTTCTCCCACTTGTCCTTCACTCATTTTCTCCTTTGCCTCTTCCACATATGGCTGTAAATTGGATGACCCAAAAAAACATTTTTATAAACTATTCATATTTGTGTGCCACATCCTTTGTCATTCTTGACGTTAAAGTAACATTGCTCCGTCTCTAAAAACATTTTTCACTTTGACTTTGTAAGAATTTAAGGGGGGATATTCCTCAAAAAAGGGAGTACCTCTCTCCCCTTAAAATAAATAGGGACCTAGAAAAATGTGTAGTTGATTTTTTTGCAAAAATATAGGAGATTTTTTTATAGGACAAATAAAAAATAAAATATACTACGTAGAACTTATTGAGGTTGTGTACTGTGGTAGCTAGATTTCTGAAAAAACATTATAAATAGAAGTGGAAAGCAAATAATCTTAGTTTTATATAATTAAAACCTTTTTAGCCTATTTTAGACTTTTGAAGTCAAACAGATTGCCAAACGCACTAAACTGTATTTTAATAGAGTAGAAACTCAAAAGTAATTTTCAAAGACAATCGTACGCCCTCCTATAGAAGGGAGAATACCAAATGTGTTGGTGTTTTTAATTTCATGGATTATTTTATGTAATTGAAGAGATGTTGGTGTTTTTAAGATCAGACAAAAGTTTTAAGAGATGTTGATATGAGTTCGGAGGTCTAAAAGTTGCAACACTCGGTAGCAGGGTGGAAGGGGCGGCAGCCCCTGGCGGGATCCAATGTAAGGGGCAAATCGAACCCCAATGTGGCTTGAGCAACTTTATTTCGAACAATTGTTGCTTAATGAAACCTTTGAGGCTCCGTTTGGTACACGGAATAGACGGAATTGAATTGGAAGTTAAAATTCTATGGAATTGATTTGGATGAAATTGAATTCTCCCATTTCATTTCATTTCTGGCACTATCAATTCCAAATCTACATATTTTTGGGCTACCAAACACCAAAATTGAAATTTTTGCTCTCAATTCTAATTCCATAATTTGAATTTTGTATACCAAACGGAGCTTGAATTTCCATAAATGAAATCCAAAATGGTAAAGGAAACCAAATACTCCCTCCGTCCCTAAATAAAGTTCCATTTTTGACTTTTTGAGGATTTAAGGGAGGGATATTTTTGTGCTGACTTTCTAAAAATACCATTGATGTGATGTGTAAAAGTAAGATGTGATAGGTAGATTATTAGTAAAAAGGTATGATGTGATAGGTAGGGTATGAAAAAGTAAGGGGTAAAAAGGGTTTTTTAAGGGAAAAGAGAAGTTTATTTAGGGACAGAAAAAACGAAAGAGAACTTTATTTAGGGACGGAGGGAGTATTCGAATAGTATTAACTCCGAATACTATGGGTTAAGTGTTAACCACCAGCAAGAATGTACAAAGCATTCGAACACTATAATAATTAGTACTGAAATGTCTTTAGATTCTAGATGATTTCGTCTTGATCCATATATTATGCTAAGTTTAACATTTGAATACTTTTGGACACTGGAAGAATGCTGAAGTCAGAGAAGGCTTAGGCTCTCTTTGGTACACGGAATTAAAATTATGAAATTGAAATTGGAGACAATAATTTCAAATCTGATGGTTCGTAACACAAAAATATGTGGATTTGGAATTGATAGTGCCAAAAATGAATTTGAATGGAAGGTTTCAATCCCATCCAAATCAATTCCATAGAATTTTAACTCTCAATTCAATTTTAATTCCGTCAATTCCATATAACAAACAAACTCTTATAGTATTCGAGTACAATGTGATATTCATATGGTCTCTGAATCATTGAATGGTTCATTTCCCAAAAACATTATACTCCATCTTTCCCAAAAACACCTCCTAGTTGGATTTGATACAAAGTCTAAGAAAAATGAAATTGTGTGATTGAAATTATGCATAAGAAAGAGAAAAATGTTGGGCCACACAAAATTTGTTGAAATGGAAAGAAGAGTCTTTTTTTGGAATATCCTGAAAAATGAAAAGTTTTTTTAGAACAAAGAGAGTACTATTGAGATATTATAGAGTACTATGTAGTATTAAAATATTACCCATAGAGTCATGTCTGGTCAAATTTTATCAGTATGAATCGCGCACAAGGCGTATACCTAAATATATTTTTCTTATAATTTATAGTCAAAGTTAGCATAAAAGTCACACTAAGATAAATAATTTAGGACGTAGGAAGTATCGATTGAAATATTTCCGAAATGACAAATTTTCCATGGTCTTAAGGTCCATGCTTGTGTTATAGACCTTAATGCATTGACATCGTAAAAGAATTGAGTCTTTGATAAAAAATAAAAGATCCACTTATCACTCCTAAAAAATGTGAGAATTTTACTTGTATCATAAAATTACACAAGAACAACTCTTGGGAAATATCACCAAAAAGGACAATGTAATAGGTATATATAGGGCTGTTCACATTTAGGTCCGGACCGAAAAAACCGACCGAACCGGACCGTTAGGTCCAGACTGAACCCGGACTGAATGGATTTCGGGTCGCTCTTCGGTTCAGAAAATTTAGGCATTCGGGTTTCGGTCCGGTCTGGTCCAAATCCGAAATGATTTAGGTCCGGACCGATTGGACCGGTTGGACCTAATAACCCTACTGGACCTAAAAGACCTAAATAGTAAAAGTCTACTTTTTAAGTTCCGTATTACACTTTAATGCTCTATTTTAATAGATATTTTAATTTATTTAATTAAAAAGGTTTTTTATTAAGTACTTTTTAAAAAAATCTAAAAAAAACATTTCATATTTGTTTTTATGGTTCTACATTGAAATAGTTCATATTGTGTATCCATTTTAAGGTTGCATATTTTTTTATTCATTTTCTATTTGAATGGTACAAAGTAAAAAGTCTAAAATATATTTAATTGATCAAAATAATTAAAAAAATATGTATTTTTTTCGGTCCAATCGGTCCGGACCGGTTCGGTCCTAAATATTTCGGTCCGGTCCGGTCCAAACCTGAGTAGATTTAGGTCCGGTCTTCGGTCCTTAAATTTACTCATTTCGGTCCGGTCCGGGTCGGTCCGGTTCGGTCCGGTCTTAGACCGATGAACAGTCCTAGGTATATACTCCCTTGCTCCCAATTTTGATTATATTTTTATTTTCTTCCTCATCTCGATAACTTTTGTTTATTTGTATGTTTTTATTGATTATTTGATAAAATAAAATGCTCGTGCCACCTCTTACTTTGTAAAACTTTTGACGTAATTTTTTAATATATAATTTTTGTTTTTCTATTGAGGTACCAATTTATAAATAAAACAATTTCAAAAATAGTTTGATTTTACCTCTTTATTCTCAATTTGTAATCAAAGTTAATACCTGGACGAATAAGGAACTGGTGGCGCATTCTCCGGGCTCCTCGAAGAACAGCCGGTCCGACGACCTCCTCACCACTTCCCGTATGATCGTCTCCTCCGACGACGACCGATCACCGCCCTCCCCCTCCTCCTCCGACGATGCCGTGAAGCAACGCGACTCGCCGGAGGAGGGACCGAACTCGGCGGGTCCCCGGAAAGAAAGCGTCTTTGTCGCCTGAGCGCAGGCAGGCCGCCGCCATTGCAGCAGCAGCTCTCTGTTCTTGAAAATAATGGAAGGGAAGCCCATGGAAAGAAAGGAAAAGAAGACGGACCCAGTCGGCCGGGGAGCTACCTAGCACTGAGAAGTATATATATATATATATATATATATAAGGGAGTGTTTGGAAGAGCGGAAACCTTCGAGATTTCTGTTGGTTGATTGGGAGGAGGAGATGCTTTAATGGCGATCAGAGAGATTCAGAGGGGAAAATGGGGGAGGGAGGTGAGAAGGTGTGGAACCTTTTATGGGTTGGTCGGACCGCTCATCCTTTGTATTTAATTCTTAGTTTGAATTTTTTACAACATTTTTGCTTCTTCTTCTTCTTTTTTTTTTTTGGAAAAACCAACAATGTGGGCCTTTCAACATTTACAACACTACAAATACTCTTGGTGAGGGCTTTTAACTTACTTCACAGTTTCATTAGATATGAGTTTGAAGTCTCGGATCTTTAAATTGGGGCTTCAAACTTTTTTTTTACAATTTGAATACACATTTTGTAAATTAAATTAATAATATTTCATTAATTAATTTAATTTAAAAGATAATAATTCATTAATTAAAAAAATTATATTAATAAAATAAATATTTGAATAATTATAATATAAATGTTTGAGTAATTATAATATAATTATTTCAATCAAATCTATCGTTAGTGCATTGTAAATCTCTTGGCTTAGAATTTCATAACCGTTTCTTCGTTTCTTTTCTTCGTCGATTTCTTCGTACGTAGCCACCTCCTCGTCCGGGTTGTAATGACATAATACAAACATGATGTCCTCTATGATCATATTATGAAAAATAATACATGTGTACATAATATTTCTCATTTTTGTTTGAGAATAACACTTAGACGGACAATCTAAATGTGCCACTTACCCTTCACATGCTAGTAGTTCAGGTACGTTTGGTGTTATACTCTACTCTCATAACAGATCTTTCTTGGGGGCTGTGAATGGACCCCTCTCTTGGTACTTGTGTCCGTTATTGGCAGATACGTTGGCTGCTAAAGAGGTGCTCATTTGATTAAAGTTTCTTGGGGTGACTTCCGTTTGGGTACTTTATGATTGTGCAATCTTATGTCACAACATGGCGAACCCTTCTATGGAAGATCGTTCTTATATTCGCATCACTACTTCAGATTGCAGGAAATTTACACATGAATTTAATTATTGTTCCTTCAGTTTTATTTCTTGTTCTTCTAATTTTTGTGCTCACTCTCTTGCTGTTGTAGTTTATGGGCAAACTTATATTATGTATTGGGATTCTTCCTCTCGTGACTTTGTACTTCTTCAAATTTAATGTTGTTTGTTTGTTTTCAAAAAAAGAACCTCTCGTATCTAAACCCCAATTTCAAAACACTAAGGGTCCGTTTGGTACAAAGAATTGATAGAATTGGAATTGAATTGGAATTAAAATTCCATGGGACTCAATTCTATAGAATTGAATTCACCAATTCCAATTCATTTTTTTGCACTACCAATTCCAAATTCACATAATTTTTGTGCTACCAAACATGAGAATTGGAATTGAAGTCCTCAATTCCAATTCCATAATTTGAATTCCATGTACCAAACGAGGCCTAAATATTAATTGAACAATAATTTATCTCTAATCTATTATCTTAAATACAAACTTAAAAGAATGAATACAAGGCTTAGTAGATTCTGATACTTTTTCAAAAGTGCTTTGAGATCTCTAAATTATTTTAAGTGCTTGTAAGATCTCTATACATTATACAGTTAGGTTCAATGACCACTCAACGGTGTTCCGTTCGTAAAATTTATGGCTCCCACCACCTAACCCCACATCGAGTCTCGACCCCAACTCATTCTCCCACATATGTCAATTGCACCCCGCAAATTTAATTAACTTTGTAGTCAAAATATCTGATTTTAAAGTCAACTAAATTCGCGAGTGCAATTGACATAAGTAGTGAGATGGGTTGGGTTCAGGATTGGGCGAGAGTTTATCAGAAGAGTATGAACTATCAATTTTACAAACAAAGTACCGTAAGTGTCTGAGTCAGAGCAGTGGCTCCCGTTGCTACTGAAAAGCAATGGCTATAGAACCATACTTTCTAACCGATGCACAAATAATTTTCCGGTGACTTTTCTCGACCAAAACTCCGAATGGATGGTTAGCCAAAGTTTTGGACGGAAAAATCACCGGAGGACTATTTGTGCACCAATTAGAAAGTATAGAAACCTTAGAAGCACTTAAAATAATTTGGGAGAAAAAACCAAAATAGCACTCTTAGAACCTTAAACACTCTAAATAGCAGTGCTATATATTTTATACCCGTGATTCCGATTTTTCCCTTTACTTAAAAAGCAAATATTCATTACACACTGCCAAAAAATATGACTGTTTTGGGTTGTGTTGTTGTTCACTTGTAACTGTGTAGTGGACAATGTAATTTTTTATATGTGAGTATTTGATGTGGTAGTGTATAATGGATGTATGTTGTTATAACTGTATTATTGTATTTCTTAATTTCATGTTGAAGTGTAATGTTCATTGATTTATGTGTTAGTGTTTTCATGTATAAATTCTACACTGTAAGAAAATGAATGACTATTTTCATGTATGAATTTCACACTCTCAAATAAATGTATAACTCTTTTTATGTATGAATTCTACACTGTTTTTATGTATGAATTCCATACTACCAAAAATGTGGATGACGGTTTTCATCTATGAATTTTACACTGCCAAAAAAAATGTATAGCTCTTTTTATGTATGAATTCTACACTATTTTCATGTAAGAATTCCACACTGCCAGAAATGTGTATGACTATTTTCATGTATCAATTCCACTCTGTCCAAAAATGTATGACTACTTTCATGAATAATCTATTACATCAAAAACACATTAGCCAAACATGGGTGTTAAATAGGAAACTTAATTTAATAAGTATGAACTTGTTTAGACATTATACACTGGTAAACTGCGTAGGAGGAGGATCTCGCAGGGCTATGGTAAACGAGTTAGGATGATGTTCTCGCACGTATGAGACGCACGAATGAGGAGGAGCCGCACATATGACGAGAAGTGGCTACATGAATAACCCGAGTTTAATCAATTAGTTAAAAGTAAATAAAAATAGTAGAATATAATAAAAGGTAGAGGACATGATGAGAAGACATTGATACTATAAATAGTTAAATTTGTATAAAAGATTAATGATTGCTATATGCGTAATATTGAGTAACTTAGAGTGCTACGTAGGATGATTTATGAAATAATTTAGGGGGTGGTTCTAATATATTTAGAGACTTCTTAAAATTAGTCGGAATGAACTTTGTGCCTCAATATGTATTGCATATTAGTTTAATAAAATAAAATTTTGATAAGTCTCAGCAAGATAAAGATAATAAATCATTTTTATACTAATATACATTACTGCTTTTGTTTAATTGAAACTCAAAATCTACAAAATTTGAGTAAAAAAATCAAACTAGACAATATATTAAGACAGGGAACAAAATCTAAAAAATTAAACTTTAACTAATAAAAGAAATTAAATACTCCATCCGTCCACCTAAGATCTTTCTATTGCGTGTTACGAGGCTTGAACTACTTTATTTTCAATTTAATTTATTTGAATATGGGAGTAAAATATTAATATAAAATCTATGTAGTAATAAACTACATGAAAAGTTCTACAAAACTAGAGGTGCCAACACTATATAATTTTATAAAATGAGTAATAAAAATAAACAAACAAAATGAATTAAGTTTGACCCTGTAAATAGTGTGTGGGAAGATATATGATGGACAGGGAGCAACATTTAAGTATCCGTTTGCAAATCACTGAATGATCAGTTTGACAATGCGGCCTTTAACATTACCCAAGAGAAAAAATGCAGTGGATGAACAACGGGATGACATAATGATACAATTATACAATTCTATAAGAATTTGTTTGACTGAATAATTAAATTTTCATCGATTAAAAGCGAGAATCTCAATCATAGTAGAATTGCCAATATAAAAAAAATATAATTGTAAAAGTAAACAATAATAATACTCCATTTCTAATCATCACTATTATTCCTACTTCCTAGTACATTTTGTGTTTCTCTAGGGGAGAGTAGGGCTGGACACGGTACCGGTTCGGTACCGTCACCGGAAACGGTACCGCCGGTACCGAGCACCGTAACGGCAACCGGGACGGCGAAACGGTTCCGAGAACCGGTTCCGGTACCGGTTTTTTTTTCTCCTTTTTGCTCTCCAACGGTAACCTGCAAAAAA